CCCCCCCCCACCCCCCAAACCCTAAACCCTAAACCCTAAACCCTAAACCCTAAACCCTCGCTGACCTGCACAGTAAGTATCCCGTCTGCGTCTACATCTATATAAACTTTTCTCTGGCGCAGCAGACTGGTGAGAGAGAAGAGGCGCATGCAGGTCGACACAAACCCTCCTTTTTCTCGAGGGTTTAGCACCAGCTCCCATAGACACACACGTGCTCCTGCTGCTGCTGCTGCTGCTGCTGCTGCTGCTGCTGCTGCTGCTGCGGGTGGTGGTGGTGGTGCTGGTGGTGGTGATGATGTGGGGTCATCCGGGTCTCCTGCTGCTGCTGGTTCTGCTGCTGCTGCTGCTGCTGCTGCTGCAGCAGCAGCAGCACGCTGCTGCAAGAAACGCAGCATACGCTTCGTCAGCCGCAGCGTCAATGCCTCTCGGTGCTCCTCGTTTGCCTCCTACACAAACCCTAAACCCTAAACCCTAAACCCTAAACCCTTAACCCTAAACCCTAGACCCTAAACCCTAGACAGGAAGTGTCTTGGGGTTCATTAGGGTTTATTAAGGTTTACTAAGGCGGATTAGGGTTTATTAGGGTTGAGGGTTTATTAGGGTTTAGCTTTTATTAGGGTTTAGGGTTTATTAGGGTTTAGCGTTTATTAGAGTTTAGGGTTTATCCGGGTCTAGCGTTTATTAGGGTTTAGGGTTTGTTGAGGCTTAGAGTTTAGGGTTTATTAGGGTTTAGCGTTTATTATATATATATAATAGGGTTTAGGGTTTATTAGGGTTTATTATATATATATATATATATATATATATAATAGGGTTTATGGTTTAGGGTTTATTAGGGTTTAGGGTTTAGGGGGCTGACGACTTGATCGGCGATGAGGGTTTGGGTGGTGGGGTTGTTGTTTGCTGCTCTTTTGTAAGCTCTGCGTTTCCTCGCAGCAGCAGCAGCAGCAGGAGCAGCAGCAGCAGCAGCAGCAGCAGCGGGATTAGTTTCTGCTGCTGTTGCTGCTGAGAGGGGCGGCAGCACAGCAGCAGCAGCAGCAGCAGCAGCAGCAGCAGCAGCAGCAGCTTCTCTGTCGCCCCACGAACCCAAAGACAACGGCAGCTCTCTCCCTAAAGAAGCAAACGATAGACCCCCTTCAGGTCTGCTGCACTGCAGCAGCAGCAGCAGCAGCAGCAGCAGGAGTAGCAGCAGCAACAGCAGCAGCAGCAGCAGCAGCAGCAGCAGCAGCAGAAGCAGCAGAAGCAGCAGCGGCACACACACAATCATACACATGCTGTTGTTGCTGCTGTTGATGCCGTTAGTGCTGCTGCTGCTGCTTCTTCGTGTGCTGCTGCTGCTGCTGCTGCTGCTGTTGCTGCTGCTGCTGCACGTTTTTTGTGTTTGCTGCTGTGTTTGACGGTAGCATCCCGTGTCTAGGGTTTAGGGTTTACAAGGGTTTACTAGGGTTTACTAGGGTTTATTAGGGTTTGTGAGGGTTTATGAGGGTTTAGGGTTTACAGTTTCTTTCCATCGCTGCAGCAGCAGCAGGGTTTTCTGCTGCTGCAGCTGCCGCAGCAGCCCCTTTGCTTCCTCCTCTACAGCAGCACTCAACACGCACCCGTACACGCAGCTGCTCCCCACTGCCTGCA